CGGCTTCCGATGCGCAGCGCTAGGCCGGTTATGCGGTTTGCGACGTAAGGGTTGCTCATTTTGCCCTTTCGTCGACGTTTGTGGAGTCATGGCTCCGGGGATAGAGGGGAGAGGGTCTACCTAGCAGCGTAGATTTCTTTCCAGGGTGAAATTTAGATTCATGTTGTAGGTATAGATACCAACATGATGATGGGAGATTTGATATATAAGTTTTTCGACATGGTGGGCTGGCGAATTCAACGGGCTTCATACATCCGGAGTACTTACATCATTATTGCGGCCGTAATTCGGAGGTTGGATAACCCTAGCCCTGGTGGCTTGGCGTGCTGGTTGTTTAAATTCGGGGGGGGGGGGGGGGTTCCATTTCCTTATCATCCAGGCTGTTGAGAAGATGATCAATGCCTGTGAGGGATAGTTACTCATCTATTGCCTCTATGCAAAGCACAAGTGGTGTGATTATATCAAGAGTGAGTTGAACAAGAAGCTTGCTAAAGATTGCTGTCAAGGGGGTTTTTGAACAAACAAGAACAAGAATTATGATGATCAGTGTACAGACTCTCAGAGCTTCTATTCAAGCTGGTGTTGTTATACAAACAACTTTTCTCAAAGAATATCAACATGATGCAGTTTCCCCAACCTGCCTGTCTTGGTCAGAATGATACATTACATACCTGCGATACATACATTTGAAGTTTGACTCTGACTTATGAACATATAGCTTGAAGCTCTGAAGCTGTGGAAGAGCTGCAGGTGGGTGTATCAAGTCACAACCTAAAAATTAAGCATCAAAGCTGCTGTTGAAGAGAATGTGCTTCTTTAAGTGATTCAACATATAAGAAAATCTCTAGAAATTCATGTTCTACAGTGACTACAGAAAGAATGCAGTGAATAGTTTGATCAAGAAGAGAGATAGTCTTCTGATCATATATTTTTCTGTAAACTTCTTTTTTCTTTATATGAGCTTGAGAATTTCAGTGTTAAATGAGATCATTTATCAGATGAAAACTTTCTCATTACTTGACAGATGTATATTCTTCAGTTTTTATTTATTCATTTAGTTATTATATATGTGACTAATACACACTACACTCTTTAATTTCTTTAATTTTTCATTTATGCATTCATTGTCTTATAGTCATTTCTTTCTTTTGATTTTATAGATTTTGAATAGTTAGACAGAAATGTAACAAGTGAACTTTGACAAACTCTCACTGTTTATTTACTTACAGTTTTTTTTAAACTAAGCAGCATTTTTTCAGTCATAATCTTCTGAATCAGTCTCATCTTTTTCAAATCTCATCAGATTCATGCTGGTTTCAATTATACATAGTCTGCATCTTCGAAAACTGATTCTCCTGGTCATTTGAAAAAGATTCCCTCTCCAAAAAAGATACTGACCAGTGAGTTAAGTTACTGCAGAATAGAAGGTTTGTCGCCCCTGAAGAATCAAAATTTGAAGCCCAGTTGTTTTCCAGCCTTTTTGGATTCGAGCGGGGTTGTTTGGCTTACTCACCTAAAGAAAGAAAGCTCTAGACTCTTCGAATAACAATGATAATACTCTTGTACGGAGTAACTACTAATTATTATAATTGCAGCAAATGTCAATAACGCCGACAAAAATTGTTGATTGCCGGCCATCAATTTGTAATCATGACATCACCAACGTAACTAACTTAATAATTGTCAGCCCCTACATCGCATCTAGGTCTTCAACCGGCCTTCCAAAGTCACCCCAATTACCTTGTGAAGAGTGTGAATAGGAGTTGTAGGTGTGTTTTTTTTATAAATGAGATGAAATAGTTTGAATGCTGCCCTCCGTCCAGAAATTCCGAACTATACAGAGAGAGTACTATGTAAACTCAAACCAGTTCGAGTGGTTTATAGAATGTGGGACATGTGACTGCATGATCATGATCGACAACCGGCGTCTTAAGTAGTTAGTTACTCTACCAATGACTTCACGTTAAAGAAAAAAGCCCCTAACATCTCAACATCCAGTTTTACTTCTTTTTTTTCGTCCGGGGTGGCGGCCCGGGGGGGGGGGGGGGGCAGTAACCAGTAACTTAGCGCAGATATGCTTATGACGACTGATTTCGGGCAATCCGCTGCTTATGATGCAATCAAAGCCGGGGGACGAAACATCCACCACGAGACGACTCGGATGAGGATTCTCAAACTTCTCTCGTATTGACTTGACTTCCTCGTTCCCGTTCTTGGTCAGGTAGTTAGTTAGTTAATCTACTAATCAAGTCCGCTTGTGCCCGGATAGCATACATTGCTTAGAAATGACGCCGGGATTGCTGCTTCCGTTGATTTCCTTTCTCCTATTGAACCTGCCTTATACTACTGATTAAAATATATTATATATATATCTATGAAAGTCACCCCAGTCTTTTTCATTCTTCAAAACTTAATTGCCCCAATATAAAAAGCCGGCGATTATCTCTACTATAACCGTTGCGTTAACTCTTCCCAGGTATATTTTCCTGATCTGCCTTCCTCGTCCACATGCTAACTAACTGGTATTCTAGTCAAAACAAGAAAACTAGGGGGAGTTACGTAGCGGCTTCCTAGTTTTTTACTTTTCGTTGTTCTTTTCAATTTTTTTTTTTTTTTTTTTTTGCCCTAGAACTTTTGATTGAAAGAAAATTCAACATGCCGGTGTTGGATCCGGGAGTCCCAGTTATTTCACCGCGAGCAGCAAAATCGCACCGCCGAAGGCATCGAAGGAATTCATCCCTCAACATGACTATCAAAACGGCTCTTACAAAGTTAAAGGAGACCGCGAGACCATCGTCGGATAACGAGTCCTCCACCTCTCCTCTTAAAAGCTTCGCAAACTTCTTCCTCGACAGGGATATCGCATCCTCCAGTGAAGATTTACCTAGCGATGATAGCGACCTCCTAAGCAAGAAACAACAGAATCGCCAGTCGCGGAAACTGAAGCGAGAATCCAGGTCGCGATTGAGCGGGGAGATGAGCGAGCAATCGCGAACACGCAAGCGGGAGCGCGATGCGCAGGCTGCGCGAGAAGAACCCCACGAGATCAAAGCCCGCTATGGAGATTTGCCGCTGATGCAGTCCAGGCAGCGTCTACGGGAGGATCTACTTAAGTTTGACAATGTCACACCAGACTCGATCGGTCAGGAGGTCACGTTCCGCGCGCGGGTGCATCATATCCGTAATATGTCATCGAAGCTAGTTTTCATCATTCTCAGGCAACAAATCACCACTATACAGGGCGTGCTGGCAGAGAAACCCGGGGCGATATCGACTCTTATGATCCAATGGGCTGAACATATCCGAGTAGGGTCAATTGTCAAGGTTAAAGGCGTGCTAACCAAGTCCAAAGTCCCTGTTACGGGAACCACCATCCATGATGTGGAGATCGATATCCAGGGGCTTCACGTAATTGTTCACAGACAGGACCAAATCCCGTTCAGCGTTTACGAAGCAGAACTCCCGAGCAAAGACGTTAGTAGTGACGGACGGCGAAACCACGTGCTGGACCGGACCCGTCTTTCCAATCGAATCCTAGATCTGCGAACCGACACCTCCCAATCCATATTCAGAATCCAGAGCGCAGTCAGCAATTTGTTCCGTTCTTCGTTGGATGCTCAGGGGTTCATTGAGATTCATACACCGAAATTACAGAGTTCGGCCACCGAGTCTGGTGCTAGCGTTTTCGAAGTCAAGTATTTCACAAGAGAAGCCTTCCTGGCTCAGAGTCCACAACTCGCCAAGCAAATGGCTATTGCAAGCGACTTCGAGCGTGTGTACGAGATTGGCGCGGTATTCCGCGCTGAGAACTCAAATACCCATCGCCACTTGACGGAATACACTGGCCTGGATATCGAGATGGCGATAGAGGAACATTACCACGAAGCGCTGGAGATTGTCGATTCTGTCCTCAAGGAGATCTTCAAAGGGATATATGGCCGCTATCGAAGAGAGGTGAATATTATCAAAAATCAATTCCCTCATGAAGACTTGGTCTGGCTGGATGAGACACCAATTATACCATTCACGGAGGGAATAAAACTTCTTAATGAGAGCGGATGGCGCCGAGATGGTGAGGAACTACCAATAAACGAAGACTTGGGGACGCGTGATGAGATTCGATTGGGAGAATTGATAAAAGAGAAATACCACACCGATTATTTCATATTGGATAAGTTCCCCAAGGCCGCAAGGCCATTTTATGCCATGGAAGATCCCGAGAACCCTGACTTCACCAATTCGTTCGATATCTTTGTCAGAGGCCAAGAGATCGTCTCCGGCGGCCAGCGGATACATGATGAGAAGATCCTCGAGAAACGAATGAAGGACGTTGGTATCAACCCTGCGACAATGGAGGAGTACATGGAAGGCTTCCGTTGGGCAGCCCCCCCTCACGCCGGTGCGGGCATCGGCCTCGAAAGATTAATCATGCTGATCTTGAAACTTGGAAACATCCGCCTAGCCTCATTATTCCACAGGGACCCAAAGAGCTTTCAAGATATGCCAGATACATCACGCATCCTCCGCTACCCGGAATCGTCCACTCTTGAACCTCCATGGGAGAAGGAAGGGTATCAAAGCGATGACAGGGGCGATCAGGATCGGAAATTCCAACCCTTGGACGAACTCATCGCCAACTACGGCGATGCAACATCAACTTCGTGGCCCGACATGAAATATAAAATCTGGCGCGACCATCCGACCGGTGCCGCCGTAGCATACGTCCCCAGCTCTCACGGCTTCGCGATAATCCCGGGCGACCCGCTCTGTGACCCGAGCCAGTACTCCAAAGTAACCATTCGCTTCCTCCGCTGGCTCAAGGCCGAAGCGCGCCTGAAACCCATCTGGATCCTCTGCTCCATGCCGGTCGAAGAAATCCTAGGCGAAAAGCTAGGCTGGCGCACCCTCTCCTGCGTCGGCGAAGCGCGCATCGATCCGTCCCGCAACCAAACGGCCGCGGACGCAGATATCGCCAAGAAGATCCGCCAGGCAGAGCGCGAGGGCGTCAAGGTCCACCACATCCCCAGCGACAAACCTCTTCCAGAAGACATCACCTCCAAGATCGACGCGCGGATCAAGGAGTGGCAGGCAAATCGCAAGGGCCCCCAGATCTACCTGTCGGACATCAAGCCATGGCGCAGCCCGCGGGATTACCAGTACTACTACGCGACCGACAGCACAGGCACGATTTGCGCCTTCGTCGCCCTAGCCCGCCTAGGTGCGAACAGCATGCAGATCAAATACAGCTTAGATTTCCCCGGCGCACCGTCCGGGACCATCGAGTACCTGATCACCCATGTCGTGCAGGCTGGGGCCAGGTTTGGCATTAAGGCACTCACGTTTGGCGCGGGCGCGTCCTCGACGCTCACGCCGGGCCATAACATGTCGTCCACGAAGGGCAAGGTGCTCCAGACCACCTATGAAGCCATTGCCAAGCAGTTTGGGCTGAATCGCAAGACGGAGTTTAGGGCTAAGTTGGGTGCGTTTGAGGAACCGCTTTTCATTGCTTACCCGCGCCATGGGATGGGTTCCAAGGGTATAAGGGCTATTTTGAATTTCTTTGAAGACTGAATGGATTTCTTTTTGTTATGACGGTTTCATAGCCTTGAGCCTATTTTTTTTGGTTATACTTGCTATTGGTATTTTGGTTATAATTTGTAATAATATCGTTTTCCTTTTCCTGTTCCCTTTTTGATTAATTATTTTACTTTTTAATTAGTTCTGTTCTGTTTCCTTTTGTTTTCGCTTTTCTGTTTTTATTATCCTCTGAAAGTGGGTAATGCGACGAGAGACGATTTTGTTCGATATACACATAAATGATAGCGATATTACATGTTACAAACAATTGGATTTTTGCCATTCATAGATATATAAATATGTGTTTACAGTTTGGCTTCATGGGCTAGTTTCCTCAAGAGTAGAATACATCTAGGTGTGTATGCATCTGAAGCAAAGTTACTAGTGAAGGCAAGACTTTAATTACATTTCATATCAACCCTTCAAATAGTAATTCTGGAAAGAGATGGCTTCTCCAAATGAGGACAGCGCTGGTGTTATCTGTACCGAGCTGGCCCTGGAGTATTAACTTACGCGTTTGGTGGACTTGCCATCTGGATGCAGAATATGATGAATACAAACAAATAGAAGGTAGTAGGATAGAAAGTGATACGAAAGTGATACGAAAGTGGGAATGAAAATTCAGCATTGGAAACTTGTGGTTAACCTATAAAAGAGGTTGGTAGGAAAAATCGGGCATAGTCGATATTCCTCCTAAGCGAGTTCTCAACCCTGTACGCGGAATGTCCTCCCACTCGCAGTCTTTCTCTCCCGTTCCTCATTCTCGGGTCGGGCACGATTGAGAACTATGGTTTAACAGTTAATTTCGTGTGTCAAGCTAGAACGTACCAAAGTCCAAAAAGGGCAGACACGTACCTTGTAGGAAGTCTGCGGTTCGTCTCCGCATCCTCGAGTGGATATATGCCTTTCGAAAAATGTTAGTTGGTACACAAAATGATGGATTGTTCGGGCCATGAAAGTTACCTTCGAAGCTTTGATATGGTAGTGGAAATAGTCGCGGAAGATCTGGATATGGGAGATATTCTCTCCACGTCGCTGGGGTGTAAGATGGCGAGGGAAGAGAACTGTTTTCAAACGGACAGTCAGCTTCCAGTGCACCGGAGGGAATGGGAGAGCACGAAGGAGTTAAAGTACCGAAAGTGATGTAACCGACGTCGCTTCCGGAGGCCTTTACCTCCGGTATGCCTTGTAGTTCGAGAGGAGGGTCATTGCGGAAAAGAACTTGAGGCGCGTTTTGGATCGCTCGTCTTCTTGCATCGACGAATTCCTGACAGTCGGGTAAGAAATATATTCTGCTCAATGGCATATGGTATCAGGAGACGGAAAACATACTTGCAAAAACACTTTGCCGAATATTCTGTCTGTCTCATCTCGGAAAATAGTGCTGAAAATCACGGTAACCCGATCGTGGCTGGCCTTGATGTATATCGCTTCCTGGTCCCGATAATGGATTGACATAACCTCACCTCCCTCCGCCACACCTTGGGGCGCTGATTCAGAAGTGTATCTCGCCGCCTCCTCCTGCAGTTCTGAGAATTCATCGAATGCCTTCTCAAAAGGTGCGGCCATCACATTCCGTCGCATGAGCGCGATCCGATTAACCAAGTCTTCTCTACCTTCCGGTTCCGCGGGGAGATTATCTAGATCAACTAGAATGGAGAAATCATAGCCGGGCTCTGGAGGCACGATGAATGGGCCATATTCCCGCTCGAGGACACTTTGCGCCCCGTACTGCACCAGCTCGCGGAAACATTTAACGGAGATGGAGATGAGGATCTTGGATTTAGTTTCTGGGGTGGAAATATGGAATGTGACGCCGTCGAAATCAGAAACGATTTGATCAATGGATACGGGGGGGCCTCTATGGTTGGAGTATGTTAGCACTGGTAAATATCGGGTGGGATAGCTTGTAATGAGGGGAGAGGTGACGATGTATGGTAGTTGAGCGGGGAGAGGGGTCGGAACATACCCAGAGAATCGCTCCGTTAGGAGGGATTGGATAAGGACATTTTGGTAATCTAAGAGAAGCATGATGATGGACCGGGGATCATGTCAATGCGTGAAGCGAAAAGATGTATATTCCCAGTAGTTGTTTGATAAATGTTGGCCGCATCAGCCTGCACCGCCGCAACAACTACGAAGTGGAGCGGAGGATACTGCCGCAATGGTCAGTAGCGGCCACCGTAGTTAGGCGCCTATTGTTGCGCGCGCTAAAATAACTGGCTGCGAAAAAGTCGAGGGAGCTCCAAATTTTTGCTTGAGCACCCAGGCGGAAAAAATGGTCAAATCATATTTGTGAGTACAAGATCTGTGTATATGTCTACCTTATTTATAGATTATGGATGACTGATTATTCCTTCAGGAAATTCGAGCCTTCGAAAACCTTTGGCCTTATTACTGCGGCTTGGTCGAATGCGGTTTGGATACCTGACGAAGATGTCTCCACCGAAACTCGACACACGGGTGCCGGACGAGCAGTTGTTGGAGCAGGAGAGGAGGTGATATGCTGGGATTTGAAAAAGGGTGAATTGCTCAGCAAATGGAGGGATGTGGATTGCAGCGCACAGGTCACGGCTATCTCACAAAGCAAAACAGATAAAGATATTTTCGCGGTTGGGTAAGAATAGGATTGTCTCTCCTAGATACCATGAATGGGATTCTAACAGCATGTGGTAAATAGGTATGAGGATGGCACAATCAGGCTATGGGACTCGAGACTAGCGACGGTTATGATATCTTTCAATGGCCATAAAACCGCCATTACCCAGTTGGCATTCGACAGTGCGGGAGTGCGCTTGGCGAGTGGCTCCAAAGACACCGACGTTATAGTATGGGACTTGATCGCAGAGGTTGGCATTGTCAAACTACGGGGTCACACGGATCAAATTACCTCTGTCAACTTTTTGAACGGTTCGGGCGCCGGTGACACTGAAATACAAAGTAACACTGACCAGGACCGCTTCCTCTTGACCACTGGAAAAGATTCCTTGATCAAAGTCTGGGACCTTTCGTCTCAGCACTGCATCGAAACTCATGTCGCGCAGAGCAACGGGGAATGTTGGTCATTGGGGCTTTCACCCGACCAGAGTGGATGTATAACTGGAGGGAACGATGGCGAACTTCGAGTGTGGTCCATCGATGCTGCTGCGATGAATGAAGTGGCGAAAGAGACTGGGGCAACAGACGGTCGCAAAATCCTTGTGGATAGGGGTAATTTATATCGACAGGGCAAAGACCGAACAGTCGGTATCAGCTTCCATCCGAGGTTGGATTACATTGCAGTCCACGGCGCTGAAAAATCGATCGAGATCTGGAGGATACGAACAGAGACTGAAGTACAAAAGAGCCTAGCAAGAAAACGGAGACGGAGGCGAGAAAAAGCTGGTGAACAAGGCGCTGGAAATGAGCTAGAAAATGCTGCAGATGCTGATAAACCACAGTCTATCTCGGCCGCCCCAATATCTGACGTTTTTGTGTCGTATACTATCGTCAGAACAGGTGGAAAAATTCGTTCAGGGGACTGGATGGGTGGGAAAGGCCTCAGATTACTTGCGGCAACAACCAACAATCAACTGGAAGTGTACGGTGTGATCCCTGCGGAGAAGCGAAAATCGAAAGAGAGCGAGGAGTCAGAATATAACCGCGCATTATCGATTGATATGCCAGGTCACCGCACGGACATTCGATCGCTTGCCCTGAGCTCTGATGATAGGATGCTTTCATCCGCCTCGAATGGTAGTTTGAAGATCTGGAATGTGCGAACCCAGACCTGCTTACGAACTTTGGAATGTGGTTACTCATTATGCTCCGCCTTCCTACCTGGAGACAAAATCGTGGTAGTGGGGAATAAGAATGGGGAGCTAGAAGTCTTTGACATTGCCTCATCTACCTTGCTGGATACAGTACAAGCGCACGAAGGCCCCATATGGGCGCTACACGTTCATCCTGATGGGAAATCTATGGTTACCGGAAGTGCTGATAAGACAGCTAAGTTCTGGGATTTCAAGGTCGTACAAGAAGAGATTCTAGGTACGAAACGGACGACTCCTCGCCTTAAATTAGTTCATACGAGGACACTTAAAGTGAACGACGATATCCTAAGTATTCGCTTCTCTCCCGATGCGCGACTCATCGCTGTAGCACTGTTGGATAATACCGTCAAAGTGTTCTTCGTTGACACTTTGAAACTATTCTTGATCTTATATGGCCACAAGCTTCCTGTCCTTAACATGGATATCTCATACGACAGCAAATTAATCGTCACCTGCTCTGCGGACAAGAACGTTCGGCTATGGGGCCTGGATTTCGGTGATTGTCACAAGGCGTTCTTCGCTCATCAAGACAGTATCATGGCAGTAGCTTTCATACCGAATAATAATGAGGGCAACGGTCATCACTTCTTCAGTGCCAGCAAAGATCGGGTGATAAAGTATTGGGATGGTGATAAATTCGAACAAATTCAAAAACTCGAAGGGCACCATGGCGAGATATGGTCGCTTGCTGTCAGCCATTCTGGAGAATTCATCGTCAGTGCAAGCCACGATAAAAGTATCAGAGTATGGGAGCAAACTGATGAGCAAATATTCTTGGAAGAAGAACGGGAGAAGGAACTCGAAGAGCTCTACGACAGCACTTTAGCAACCTCGCTTGATCAGGACGAGGATGCTGAAGGGCAGGACAAAGCAGAGGCAGTGGCTGCTGGCAAACAGACCGTTACAACCCTCATGGCCGGTGAGAAGATTGTAGAGGCTCTCGATCTCGGCATTGAGGACCTGGCGCTTATGAGAGAGTGGAAGGAGTTGAAATTATCCAATCCCAATGCAGCACCGCCATCGCGCAATCCCGTCTATCTAGCCCTGGGTAACATTGCCGCAGAACGTCATGTCCTGCAAGTCATACGAAAAATTCCAGCAGCAGCACTCCAAGATGCCCTCCTGGTTCTTCCCTTTTCAAAATTACCGGCCCTCTTCACATTTCTGAATATCTGGGCAAAGAACGGATGGGAAATCCCGCTGACCTGTCGCGTCCTATTTTTCATGCTCAAAACGCATCATCGCCAGATTGTGGCGAGCAAGATGATGAGACCGATGCTCGATGGTATTCGAGGCAACCTACGACGTGTCCTTGCCAGACAGAAAGATGAAATGGGTTTCAATATTGCAGCGCTCAAATTCATAGGCAACCAGGTCCGGGAACGTGGCCGTTCGGATTACATTGATGAGGAGCTGTGGGAGAGGGAAGAGCAGCAGGAAAAAGGGAGCAAAAAGCGGTATTTCGTCAATGTTTCATAAGGGGTAGAATTCGCATGAGTTCGTTCTGCTCTATTGACTTTCAAATGTCTTATTCACAGGCTACATATTTTGGGAGTTGGAAAGGGGCTTGTTTGTCTCT